TCCTTCAGTAGCAAACCCCGTAACTCTTTCTAGCTTTAGGATTTGGTTTCTTCAGTAGTTTCCCAGTATGGAAATACTAACCAAACCCTGAACTTTTAAATCTCTCTCTTTCTGGTCTTGTGATCTCCCTCATATGCTAATTTTTAAAGTGTGCTCACATATTAATAGAACCCTACCCGAGGTGCACAGCCTCTCTTTTGAAGCTTGATTTTATTTTTGATGCCTGTAACAGGTGTTGGTTTAATTGGTTTACTGTATTACTGCTTGCTTTTTTTTTTCCCGAGCCCAGCCAGCTCTGTAAACTGACACGACTTGAAGGCCAAGCATGTGACTTCTCCCTGCCTTTAGCCTCGCTTCACACCAAACATTTGTGCTGCAGACTCCCAGCAGCCAAGGCAGCCTTAATTCAAGTGTTGTCTAAACCAGGAGGTTTTTTGCTGATTGTATTTAAATCAGTCCAGCCAAAGCCCCTTGAACATTCCCATCTGAGGGGCTGCTTGCTTTGATTTTCCGCTGTCAGCTTTCTGAGGGGCAGCTGCTGAGGGGAAGTGACTGTGGCTCCAACAACAAAGGCGTGTGTTTGCACTGCTCTCTGCATCGATTTCACACAAGTAGTTTGAAGCCACAGTCTAAATTAAACTGATTAGAGTTCTCCAAAGGACAGCCTTGCTGCAAAGGGGAAGGTGAATTCTTCTCCTCTTAAGTCTAGTGGAAACTGTTTCACAGCCTGTTTATCAAATAAAGATTCACAAAGACGCTTCGAATGAGGAAACCCACCGGGATTAAAGTGTAACTTTACCTCTAAAACACAGGCTGAGATTCCTGGAAATGCTGCAAGCTTTTGACTTTGTGCCACCTGTTGTTTTCCTGCCACCCCCTTCGCCTCCCTCCCGACTTAGAGCAAACCCAAACATGCTTTGGCTTTGCTGAGACATTTTGCTTGTTTTTCTGTCTTGCAGCAGCCCAGAGGAGCACAGAGCACGCATTTGCTTCCTGACATGGTCCTCCCAGGCTTGGTTCAGCAAAGAGCTGGCTGAGCTTAATCTAAGTCTTCTGTAATCCTGAAGGACCTATTCAAGAGTGGTGCAAAGTGCAAGGGCTAAAATGCTGCAGTACCTCAGGGTGTTGACCTGGGGTGCAGGCAGGTAAAGCAGCAGTGGCTGGAAGCCACTGCCCTCAGCTCTCCTCTCCCCATCTGCAGCTGTCGCTGGTGCTGGCCTGAGGGTGAAGCAGTCATGTGTACGCAGCTCAGAGCATGAAAGTAATCCATTGCTGACTTGGAGTTACCTTTTTTTGGCACTCAGATGTTGCCATTCAAGATCTGCTGTAAATGGGGTGTCTCTGGGAAAGAGGTTGGATATGAACCGGGAATTTCAACTGTTTCAGCCAGATCCACCCATATTCGTGAGCAAACCCAAATGGACTTGGGAGAGGCTCCTTAGTTCCTATGATTTCTTTTTTCACTTGAACTCCTTTCAATTCAAATTCTTAGTTGTCAGTGAAGTGCTGCATTGTCCTAGCGCTGTATTACAATCCCATACAGATTTGTAAACCAGAGATAGAGAGGGGTTAAGAAACTTGCCCAAGGCAGATGAGTCAGTGCCAGAGCTGGGAATAGAAACTAAGAGACTTGGCTCCTGCTCCAGGCTCTAATTGCTCAATCTCACATTGAAGCTCTGTCATCGTATACTCTTGAGGTAAGCTTGGCTAAAGTGAGACAGGGAAAGCTGTTTCCAGGCTGTGATACCTGAGGAGTGGAGAGAGGAAAAGATACATGGAGGCAAATTGGTTGTGGAAGCACCGATAATTTGTACTTTAAAGCCTGGTTTTGGCAATTGGTACTAAAATCTGATCTGTCACCTTTGAAGCCAACCAAGTGTAAACTAAGGAGCTAGTTGGGAAAACTCCAACTCTTTTCCAGTCACTGTTAAAGAGGAGTGGTAAGGTCATAATGTCACTGGTCTTTTTACTGTAAAACACCCCTGCAGTGAGATCAGGAGCAAAGGCAGATGAGCTGAAAGGATCCAAGTAGTAACAGGAAGGGTTAAATCACATTTCAGCTCTTAGTGAAAAAATGAAAAATAAAATGTAATCTGGCTAGTAAAAGGTTTGGACTATGTTGTGTTCATATCACATGTTGTGTATAGGAAAAGTCAGTCGGATTGCTTTTGTTTGAAGTGCAGTGCTTTGAGAGGGTGCAGTGCTTTGCAGCAAACTGTCTGACATTCCCCAGCTGGGACTGGCCGGGAATAGTGTTTGGAGCTGAGAGTTACATTTGGAGTCAGCCCATGTTTGAAGGAGACAGAGAGAGGGAGAGAAAGGAGCCTGTTTTTTTTTTCTCTTGTGTGAAGTAATGCGTCCATCTAATCTGCCAGCTGTAGCACATGAAAAGCAAGAGGCACATGGACAGAAGGCACCTGGAAATTGTGAACATGGCTCAAACAAAATAGTTCTTTCCTGTCCTTTTTTTCCCTTCTTAAAGTCTGTCTTCTGGGACAGGCTGGGAGATCTGGCAGGCAGGCAGATTGGATATATGTTGAGCAACTAAAGCACAGAAATATTAATATTCCAGAAAAAAAATAACATTGGCTTCTGAAGAGCACTTCATGTCCAAACTCAATGTATGCTCCCAGTCCCTTGCAGACTTAGCTGCCCTGTGCAGGGATTGTCAGGTAATTTATAGTTTCTCCACCTTCATTTGTACAAGCTTTCATTTCCTGTTAATTTACAGCCAGATCCATCACAGCCTGGATGAGATCAGAGTTGAACTCACAGCCTCTGTTTCAGGAGAGCTCCAGAAAACATGCTTGGGGTTTGCTTTCACTTATGCCTGTGTTGAAGTACTTTTCTGAATCCGGGTCACACATACATTTAATGGACTCTCTTCTTTTGAGAAGGAAAAAAGATTGAAATGTTTTAACTTGCTCATTCTGCTGATCAAGTTCATTGCAAAAGAATCTAATCCTTGGGGAACAGAAACCCCCTTGTCCGTGTTTTTAAATGATGGGGGTCACAAAATTCTGAGTGAATTTTCTTGTATTTTTAGTCTCACTACAGTGTAAGTTCACTGGGCCTCTGTTTCACTGTGTGCATGGATGTGAAAATGCAGTCTTTATTTGTACCTGTAAATGAATATTGGTCATTTGGATAGTAGCCATATCATTACCTTTTATAGTTTGTGTTTGTAGAGACCCGTATGCCTGTAACCCATGGAAGAACCAGTTTGGGAACATAAGTTATTACTTATTTTCTTAACACATTTTTGCATTGTAGTAGCAGCAGAACATTGCTATAGTAGTGTAAAATTTGTCCTTAATGTCTTGTGAGCCTCCACTGAATTAAGTAGCATTTAAACTCTTTTGTCAAAGAAGCATTTGTCAAAAGCAGCATTTTGGCAAGTGTTTCCCCAGTGCCAGTGAGGGTTATGTGCTGGCTGTTTAAAGGGTAAGTAAATTGTTCTGAGAATGCAGTTTTTACCCTCTTCCTTTTACAGATACTGGTAAATGTGGTAGTGAAACAATCTAGTTTTAATAACAGGGAGAGTAAAGTTGCAGATGAGGGAGCAGGACCTGCGGGAACAGGTCCTTTGCTGTGCGCTTATTGGTATTTTGAGGAGAAAGGTTTTATTTGAAAGGGGCTTGCCTGCACCCCTGGGAGAGCCTGAAATGGGGATGAAGCTGGAGAAGATGGGCTCCTAGACACCCATCAGCTTCAGTGCCTGGAAGGCTGCAGTCGGCTCATCCATCAGATTCTTGTTTCAAAGAGCTGACGCTTTGTCAGGAGATCTGGAACGTCCTGCTTTGCATTCAAGAGTGCTTTCACTGGCTGCTGTCTCCTCTTCTGGTTACTCAGTGGGTAGTTGGCCAGATTAAGGCACAGTACTTGTCTGAACCCTCTCTGCTATCTCTTATTATTCAGCAAGTTCTCAAGTGTCTGGTGAGCAGTGTCTCTGTTTGGAGTGCCTTACTCTCAGCCTTGCCAGTAATAGCAGTGACTGGTCTAAATTCACATCAGGCATGTGCTCTCCTTCTTGTGACTAATGTGCAGAGTATTATTTTTTAATTGGTTACTGTTCTCTCTACTGATTCAGGCCAGAAGGGAGTCAGAGGAAAGGACTGGGGGGATTTTAGTTCAACTGTTGAGCACACATGAGATCTAAAGGTATTTAACTGTTTGATGGCTGTGGAAATCCTGAGGACAGCTTGTAGTACCTTCTCTAAAGAAAAATCCTAGTTTTAATCCTTCAGGCTGGTGCTGGTAGGACAGCAAATGCAGGTTGTCATTATAGGGTCTGATCCTACAGTTGGTGCTTGGGCAGAGCACTGGTACTGCAGAGTTGTGCTAATTGCACAATGGGACAAAGGTAGCAAAAGATGAGGAAACGTTTGCAAGACTGTTTGCAAGCCCTCTTACAGCATTTCTGTTTGTTACAAATCATTGTAACATAGTTCAAAGCTCTCAGAGTTTTCAGAAGAATCCTGAGGAATTAAGGAAACGAAGTTTTAGAACTTTTGCTGAGATCATATGTACTCATTTGTTTCCTGCTCTGAAAATTCCATCCTCTCTGGAAAACATTGGCAGGTTGTTTAAACCTTTGATCAGCACTCCTTTCCTGCAGGATTAAAATCTAGAACCTCAGTCCTTACATGTAACAAATCCATTCTGGAAGTGTGGGCTTGTAGGAGACAAAGCCCAAATTACTGGAAGAAAAACTGATGAGTGGAGTCAATAGCTCTGTGGAAGGGAAAAGTCTTGCACCCTACCAGAAAGAGTCTGGAAGCTTGCAGATACCTGTGAGTGAGTCTTTCTAGCCATAGGAACAGTGTGGGGATTAGGGAGGATCTCTCCAGTGTGGGTTTCTCCCTGGACAGCTGTTGAAGACTGTAAGTCTGAGTGTGTGAAGTCAGGGGCCAACCTGTGGGCCTCCTGCAGCCTTGGATATTCTTCCTGTTTTTCTAAGAGAACTAAACTGTCTCCATTTCTCTTCCTGACTGTTTCAGGCATCACAACAGGATTCGTAGCATTGAAGCAAGTCAACTGAAGCCCTACGTTACCCTGGAAACCTTGGACCTGAGTTTCAATGACATCACGGAAATCCGAAACGGCTGCTTTCCACAGGGACTTCACATAAAGGAGCTGTGAGTTTTTCTTGTTGAGAACAGCCTTTGTTGAGTTACTGCAGCAAAGAAAAGGGCCTCAAACCTTTAAGAAAAAGGAGAGGAAATGAACAGATAAACTAAGAGGTTCTTTGTCAGGATTTTAAAATCAAAGGAAAATTAGAAGGTAGTATGCTGTCCCTGCTGTCAGGTTATTTTTTTGAGCTCCGTCTTTTTGTTTTCTGACCTATCTGTTAAGAGTGCAAATTATGAATTGTGTTGCATTGGAATGTTGGAACACAGAAAAGGTATCCTGCTGTCTTTCAGGTATGGGTGTCTTTAGAGCTGTAAACCTAGAAGTCAGAAGAAGTGTCTGTTTCTTTTCCCAGTGGGAAGTGTATCTGGTGTTTCCTAGATCCCATATGCATCTGGAAGAGGGAACGAGGAATGAGTATTCATCATTAAAACGGCTACTGAATGTTAAGAACAGAAATCTCTCATTGGAAGAAAACCAAGAGTTAAGCAGAGTAGTGCCATCCCAATAGAGAAGTTTACCTGTTCAGGAAAAGATAAAATAATCTGTATTTTAGGTACATTGGAAGAGGTACAGAGAGATAATCTGCATGCATTCAAGTTTGCACCAAAGTTTCTGCCCTTGGTTGTCAGAGGATATGAGAGATATGTGACTGATGGTTGCCTGTTACCCAGTAAAAACAATTTCTGTGGCTAAGATGCCTGTGTACAGAAGAGCCCTGGAGCAGATGTTGAGGAGAAAATGGGGGATGAACAGGGTCATTGAATGCACTTGGAATATTCTTTAGTTTCTGGCTTCCACTCCCCATAGCCTAGCAGAAGTAGCAGAGTATCAAGGAGCTCTTGGGAAGTCCACAGCACTTCTCCATGTTTGTCACATGGCTCTGGGCAAGGCACTGTGCACTTTGTGCCATCAGAAATCCAGCTGATTTGAAGTCATCTGTAATTTCACTGGTCTGTGTGAAGACCAAATGCTGATAAAAGGTGATTTCTGACAGAAATATTCATTTTCTTGCTGTGATTTATTGCAGCTACCTGGGGAGCAACAGAATCAGCACCCTGGAGCCTGGTGCTTTTGATAGTCTGTCACGGTCCCTGCTAACACTTCGTCTGAGTAAAAACAGGATCACTCAGCTTCCTGTCAAGGCGTTCAGGCTACCCAGGCTAACACAACTGTGAGTAAAAATGTGCACTTTAATTAAACTCAGCCACACTTTATGGAAACAAAATGTCCCCGAGGATATACACACCAAATGTCACCCTTCCTCACCTGCTATCTGTAAAACTTAGAGCAGACTATGCAGGAGTCCTCTGCCAGCACCTAGTAAAATATGCTGGGAGAGGGTCCCTTTTGTCTTTGTACCTGTTGGATTTTCAGGCCATTCTTTCAACCAGGTGGGAAGGGAGAGATGCTGTAGCAGACATCAGTGCCTTGTGCACTGGACAGCTTAAGACAAATCTGTTCCCTTTAAAACTCAGCCTACCATGTTAGGTTTTTCAAGACCACACAGGTGTCTTTATGTGGCAATAAAAGCAACTACGGAAGGTTGTTAAACTGTGCAATGATATTTGGGCAGGGAAAATAGCACTGTAGATGAGTTAACACACACGTTGTCCTGCCTGTGGTCTGTATGGCAGGAGCTGTTTGGGGACACAGACATCTGCAGCTATAAATATGCTTTATGTGTAAAATAGTGGCACTAATGGTTTACCTTTTCCCTTCTGCTCCTGTCGGAGAAATGAGCCTAGCCTGAGGCTCACTACAGTCTTCCCATCAAATTTGATAGGCAAAAGGTCAACCTCTGTTAACAAAAGCTGTCAGAACTCACACCTCTAAATGGAAACCTCTTGACTGAGGGACAAATCCTTAAGCCAAGATGCATCTAAGGAATGGGTCTGGTTTTGTGCTTGAGACACGTAGGATTCAAAGCTAGTTTGGGATTGAACAGTGTGACATGGTAGCACATGCATCTCTCAGTTGGAAGATACTGTCTGTTGACTGAGAACTCTTAATCCACTGTGTTTGTTTGCATCGTGTGCAAAACTGTAATAAAAAGGAGGGTCAACTCAATCTGTTTAGGGGCACAGTTTTTTCTGAAAGTTGGAGTAATTTTTAAGACAGTCTCACATCTGGTTGTTTAACCCTATACATAAACATTAACTAATGGCAAGTTACACGTACTTGATGTGTTGTAGAATTTGTGTACAGTTGTTTTTCTGGCAAAGCATAGTTCACTAATAGCCTAGGAAGTGTAGTAAGGCAAGAGTCTTTAGGCCTGCAAACTTTTAAATTGCTTACTTGACTTTAATTACACTAATTTGAGTGCAAGTTCAACATTGTTTTTTTTAGGCAGTTAAAAAGCAAATTTGAAAGTTTCTTCAGCTTCCTCATCTTTTCCAAAACAAGTTCAGATGTTGTCACCTCCACCATTTTCTTCAACACACTGAATTGGGAACTTCTGTGTACACCTTGGTTAGTCTTGTATGGGCAGAAAGGTACCCACTGAAAAATCTCTTTTAAAATCTCTATCTTCGGCTCTAGTGTGTTGTGTCAATGAAGTTTTCCACTGACTGTGGAACTGAGTTTTCACCTGGGATGTCTTTTTAGCAATCCATAAGACTGCTTGATATGGGTTTGTAAAGTGTGCTGTGATCTTGTTCATATTGCTATTCAGAAAAAAAGTATTCCTAAAATTCAGGAGTCCCTCCCCACCCAGGGGAAAAAAAAAGAGAAATTTAATGAACCAAGTTGGAGATTTTTGTACACACAAAATACTAAGACTGCCTTGTTACTGGAAACAACTTACTTCACTCTTTATTAGTTTCTTATAATAGGAAAAAATGTGAAATTTGTCAGGGGAACTGAAAGCTTTTCTTTCAAACTTAGTCATAAAATTTCCTCTTGGGCTCACAGTTCTTATGGCACCAGCTTGTTTCAGAGCACATTTTTACTGGGTGGTTCCAGGTCCTGTAAAAACAGTGGGTTGTAAGGGAAATAGTGCTGATGTTTTAACTATGTTGGTTCAACTGGTGTCTCTGAGAAAAGATGACATGTGAAAACTGATGAAAAGGATGAATGGCTTAAAAGAAATGCAGAGAGAGGAGGGATGAACGGGAATTGCTGCACTTTGTTATTTCTCTAAAGTGAAATTCGGTCCCTGGGTGAGTTTATTTAAGCCATCACACCCAGCTGAGTTCCCTGGCTAGCTCTGGGATCGAAAGTTTCCGGTGGGCTTCTGCTCTCTCCTGGGAACTGTTGACAGAGGAGGTGTTGGCATTGCTGTCCCCATTGTATGCTGCACAGATGATTTTGTGAGAAAGGCCTGGGATTTAATGAACTTGTATGGCCTTGGTGATTTTAGGGAGCTGAACCGGAATCGCATCCGCCTGATTGAAGGCCTGACATTCCAGGGGTTGGACAGCTTGGAAGTCCTGAAACTCCAGCGCAACAACATCAGCAAATTGACAGATGGGGCCTTCTGGGGTCTAGCCAAGATGCAAGTTCTGTAAGTTGGAGACATGAACTCTTTTCCCTTAAACAGTCTACACTTCACCTGCTATTATGTCTTTCTTTCCATTTTAGCAAGGAGTCCCATCAAAGACCTGTGAGCACCTGTGCCAGTCCTCTTGCTTCTTTCTGTGTCCTGCATGCACAGAGCTCTGCAGCTTCTGTTTAGTTGAGCCACTGATTATTAAAGCTCACTGATATACCAGGTGTTCAGTTAAAAAAAGTCCTGTTTTTCAAACTGTGATGGTATTCCTTTGAAAGTTTGAACATCCAGCAAGATCTCAATTGGTCTTTAAATAAAAGTTCATCTGGCTTCTGCAAGTTTGTTTTGACTGATACATGGAAACTGTGTGTTGCAGATCTGATTATTCTGTCTCTTGGGATACCTAGAAACCAAGCTGGCCTATCTCAGTGGTGTGCTCTTTCCATACAAGAGAACTAGTTGAATAGTCCTTGCAGAGAAATGCTTGAAACTTCGAACATTATTTGCTTTCAAATGTGTTTGCAGGTGATCAAGGCAGCATGTTTCTGGGCACTGCTGCCACACGACCGACACTCCGCAAATACAAACTTGAATGGGATGCTTTTAGCCCAGTTTTCTTGCAGTGGAGCATATTTCTGCAATCACAGCTCATCCTGGGCACTTCCTTTGAGTTGTCCGTGAATTTCTATCCTTCACTTGCACAGGAAATGCCCAGACACACATATATCCACATGGATATATAGAAGGGTGTGTAGGAATGGCTAAAATCTGAATTGTTGTTGGAAATTCTTCAGCATTTAACCAGTGCTGCTTATTTGTCAATTCCTTCTGATTTATCTCCGCAGCCACCTGGAGTATAACAGCCTGACAGAAGTCAACAGTGGTTCTCTCTATGGTCTTTCATCTCTGCACCAGCTTCACCTCAGTAACAATTCCATATCCCGCATCAACCCTGATGGCTGGAGCTTCTGTCAGAAGCTGCATGAGCTGTAAGTTGGTTTCCATTGTGGTGGGTTGGGCAGGGTTTGGTGCTAACGTGAGGTTACCAGGAAAGGGGAGTAAGGATTGTTCTCAATCACACGGCTTACAGCTCCTACAGAAATGCAGGAACTGCAGATTCCTAAGTGATGCCCTTGTTATTTGTGATGTTATGACCTTCAGAGCACCTGATTAATATATGTTTGCACCAGAAATTAAAAGTATATAGTGTCAAAAGACCTGGCGAGTTTGGGATCTGCTGCTTGCCAATGCATTTTAGCTTGCTAGTTGCAAGACGTGCTTAGCTTTCCATGTAATGACTGTAGAGCCTGGTGGTGTGAGGTGGTAGGAGCCACTGGGGTGTGCTTTGCTTGACAGACAGGATTGTGCTACAGTGTAGGGCCAGAGACCGCAGTAGCTGAGACTTGAAAGGTGATTGTGTGGGTGTTAGCACAGATCTCTGCAAAATAGCACAAGCTCTTGCAGGTGTTGCCTTTAGGGTAAGGCTGCTGCAGGGAGCCATCAGATCCTCCTAACTGAAACTCCCACAGCCAAAGAGTACTTGTAGGAGAGGCCTGCTCTGAAATTGAAGGGTGAGGAAAAGAAGCACTAGATACATCTAGACTGCCTCTGTGTACTTCTTTGAATGTGTATGTTTCATTCTTTATTAAAAGATCCTTATTTACCTCCCCTATTGCTACATCCAGTGGGTTTCAGTTACCAGAAGACACTGTCTCTGGTTGTACAAAAGAATTAATTTCTAAGTCCCTGACCCAAGAAGGAGAGGTGATCAGACCCCTGCTTATCTGTGCTAAGGAAGGAGATGGTCATCTGAAGGATGAGTTGCCTCTCTGAGTTGGTGGGAGAAAATGTGACTCCAGGACTTCGGTCTCATGTAAGGGCTTGAGAAAGGCATGAGAAAGGGCTGATTGTTTTCACCAGTCAGGTGCTAAGGCATCAAAATCATGGAAAAATCCACAGTGGGAGCATAGGATTTCATCACAGGTAAATGATGGTTTGGCTGCTGGGTCTTTCTTTTCGCTTGTTACCTATAGCTTGGTCAATGGGAATGAAATGTGTTAGATTTACTTGGTCCAGAACTGGCTGGCAGCAGGAGTCCCAGCAGCACAACAGATTAACCCCTTTGTGTAGCAGTTTTGGCTGCTGCTCTGTGTGCTGCTCCCCTGTTTCCTTGCCAGGCCAAGTTGTAGACAGACATTTCCACTTGTTCATTCCAGTGATTTCTCACTGGTGGAGAGATGAGAAGGTAGAGGAAGCAGCAGAGACCTGCTGATTTCTCTCAACCCCTACAATCCAAACTGCTGAGGAGAGGAGCACACTCTTTTTCAAATTAGCTGTCTCACTGGCAGGAAGCAGAGCCTTTACTTGTTGAAGGAAGCCTCTGCCAGGTGCTTTAGCTCTCGAGACCTTCCATCTGGTTGCAGCTCTTAAGAGAGGCCTCAAAGATCCTTCTGTCTGTCCATCTTGAGGTGATGTCAGGACGAATGGAGGGGAACATGCCTTCACCAGTTGTGGCAGGAACTCTTCTGTGTAGAATCAAAAGGAATGATTTTTTTTTTTTCTCAGCCAGGTTTAGGATTACTTTTGAAACCTTTTTTTTTTTAAAGCCAAAGTCTTTAATCGCAGGTGAGGACATAATTTTGACCGGATGCCAGTTCTTCATAACTAATGCTACAACTTCTTTAGGAATGAAAGTATGTTGTCCCATACCTTCTTCAAACCCATTAATCTTCGCTGATTTTTTTTCCAAAGTTTGCCCTCTGCCCACTCACACAGCTAAAAGATAGACAGCTCGTTTGCCGAGTAAATGACACTTTCAGTACTTCAGAGTATGTGTCTGTTTTGACTTAGGTTTTGGTTTTGCAGTGACTTTCCTGCAAGCCACAGACACATTTTTAAGAAGACTCATTAACAGGCAGTGCTAGAAGAGGAATTTTGGAGGTTTGGAACTCAGTACATTTTCTTGTCTGTACAATGAAGGATTTCAGTGCGCGTTCAAAGCTTGGTTGCAGCTCTTAAGAGAGGCCTCAAAGATCCTTCTGTCTGTCCATCTTGAGGTGATGTCAGGACGAATGGAGGGGAACATGCCTTCACCAGTTGTGGCAGGAACTCTTCTGTGTAGAATCAAAAGGAATGATTTTTTTTTTTTTCTCAGCCAGGTTTAGGATTACTTTTGAAACCTTTTTTTTTTTAAAGCCAAAGTCTTTAATCGCAGGTGAGGACATAATTTTGACCGGATGCCAGTTCTTCATAACTAATGCTACAACTTCTTTAGGAATGAAAGTATGTTGTCCCATACCTTCTTCAAACCCATTAATCTTCGCTGATTTTTTTTCCAAAGTTTGCCCTCTGCCCACTCACACAGCTAAAAGATAGACAGCTCGTTTGCCGAGTAAATGACACTTTCAGTACTTCAGAGTATGTGTCTGTTTTGACTTAGGTTTTGGTTTTGCAGTGACTTTCCTGCAAGCCACAGACACATTTTTAAGAAGACTCATTAACAGGCAGTGCTAGAAGAGGAATTTTGGAGGTTTGGAACTCAGTACATTTTCTTGTCTGTACAATGAAGGATTTCAGTGCGCGTTCAAAGCTGCATAACTCTTACTTTTTGAAGAGTTTAGCAGCTCAAACCTTCACATCTTTTGAAGTGATTTGTGTTCCCAAGTCACGGACATATTTTTCAAAATCCTATGCAACTGCCCTATGTGAAGAGATAAGCTTGTGAAAATGTGAGTAGTGGCATGTAGCCGAATGCTAGATTTTATACTCCACGTGTCAGTGTGAAGGCAACTTCAAGCTGAGGCTACTGCTGGTCACACTCACCTGCCAGTAGCCCTGCAGGGCTTACCCAACTGCAGTGACATCCAGAGATCAGGAAGAATATCCTGGAAGCGGGGAGCTGTGGGTGAATGCTTCTGGCTGCAGATCACTGACCAGTGACTGCCTGCTGCTACCTCAGGAGGTCCTTCATTTGATGAACCAAGCTGGCCTTCAACATCTGTAACGCTGTGGCTTTGCTGCATGCATAGAAGGTGTTTGTGTCTCATATGAGGTGTCTGCAGTGGTTTGTAGCTTCCCATGCCCTGCCCTTGGTGTCAAATCTCAGTAGCTTCATCTGCATCTTGCCTGAGAGAGAACAGCTTTCTTCCTACCAGCTTCCAAACTGCAACAGGAGTAGTACTTAAGAAAAAGCCTCCATACCTACAGATAGTATGGGCAAGGGGAAGAGATGGATGGAAAACTAGGAAAACAACCATCTTCCAGTATTAGTCACTTGTAAGTGGAGAAGATTTCAAACAGGCTGGGCAGTCCTTGACAAAGGGGTGCGGGAGGGAAGGTGGCTGGTTTACAATAGATACCTCTTTCCTGTGCATGAAGGGAAGCATTCAATTGCCTTGTGGTGAAATGCTTTTGGCTCTTGACTGGGGTGGAGCAGGCTGTGAAGACACCCACACCCAGATGCCTGGGGCTTGCTGTGCACAAGTGCAGAACGATAAGACGCCTCCTGAATGCAGAAGTCTGGACCTTGCCAAGAGCTCGTGTGAACTTCAAAATCCATCTGTTTGACGTCACTCTGCACCTCTGAGGGTGTGCGAAAGGAGACATCTCCTTTTTCATGAAAGACACAGAGGGGGAGGAGTGAGGATTGAACACAACCAGGACTGATATTTGAGGGGTACCTATACGTTGTGGGATTGAGGAAGGGTGGTGCTCCCAGGCCCTAACATAGCTCTGCAGGCCATGGAGAAACAGTAGCTTCTCCCCACCATGGCTGTAAGCATGTGTAGTGGTTCATTGCTCCCACTCACCTCTGGAGGACTCTCTCTCTGTTGTCTGCACAGAAAACTTCCATATAATTGGGTACCAAATGCCTCCTACTCCCTTGTGATTATCCAGGCTGCCCCATGGGTATCTTGTGGGAATATTTGCAGACTTCAGTCTTATTTCCTAATCAAGCTATTATGTATCCACCCCATACACATTTCTCAAAACATGATTGTGGGAGGCAGGCACTGGTTGGTGCAGAGAAGTTTGGAAAATACTGGTTGGACTGACAAGGGCTGTTGTTTTTTTTCCAGAATCCTCTCTTACAACAACCTAACCAGGCTGGATGAGGGAAGCTTGGCAGACCTTGGGGGATTGCATGTACTCCGACTGAGCCACAATTCCATCAGTCATATTGCAGAAGGTGCCTTCAAGGGACTGAAAAACCTACGTGTCCTGTAAGTTACCCCCAGCTTTTGTCAACTAACCACCTGTATTCCCTCCACAGTTTCTGTTCTGTCAAACTTTGCTGTTGCTTTGAGTGCCTGTGTCCTCAGTGTCAAAGTCCTCTACACATTGCTTGGTTGTCTTAAGCAGCTGTTGTGTTTATCCCAGTATTCCACTTCAGTTAATTTGTATTTTTTTTATTAAGAGTAGTTGGGAGAAATGCAGTTGGACTGCTCAGTGCTCTAGGGTGCTTTCAGAGTAGAAGGCTCTGGAGTAAAATTACGGGAACATAGGACAGGATCCTGAGTCTAGCACAGCTGAGCAAAAATCTCTGATCCTTCAGCTAATAGCTGAATTTCTCTTGCCATCATATTGACTTTAATTGAAATTCTTAGAAAAAGACAATTTCTGTTGGGTCATTCTGCACTCAGGAGGAGTAGGGAATGATTCCTTCTAATGACAGTTCTGGAAATGTACATATCTTCTTAAATGTGCTAGTGAGCATTTTTGCATACTGTTACTTTTGGTTTTTTAATTGAATAAAAATATAACATCCTGGGCTAAGAGGCTGTTAGGAAGAAAAAAAAACCTGGCCAAACAAATTCAGAGGGTGGGCTTGGGATCTGATTATACCAGAAGTGTAAGAACAAATGAAGCTTTACCCGGTCTTGGATTCAACCATGGTTGCAGGAAGCTGCTACAGGCACCATTAAAGGAACCAGAAGCCTTTTTCTTTAATGAAGAATTGGGCTCACTTGGGTCATTAAATGTTCTGTTGCTCTGATTTTTGTGGTAACCTCTGAACAATAAAAAAGTTGCCATGCTCTGTGCCCTAATACTGTATTGCAGAATGATCCATCCAGTGGTGGCTATAGCCATTTGTCAGAGACTTTTTTTCTAAAGTCACTGGCACAACATAATACCTGGAAATGTCACACTGGAAATGAGCTTGCCATTAGAAGATAGCAGCTTCTGGATTTTAGGGTTGAGACCACTGGACAGATAATCTGACCTCCTCAGGGATGCCAGCTATAGATTTGCACCATTTATACACTCAAGACCTGCATTAGATTGAGGTATGTTTGGACTTGCCTTAGAAGCATCAGAGGATGGGAAGTCCAGTTGTCCATTCCTGCAGCTGTGCTCCCTCTGTCTCCCTTAATTGTCCCAGCAGAGCTTCTGGCAGCTCTCCTTCCAGAGGCTCCAGGCTCAGCACCTTCATCGGGCACAGAACTAAGTTCTCACAGCCTGTGTTAGCACCATCCAAGGTCCCAGGCTAGTTGAGTTCAACAGGTTGATTTAATTCTTCCTGCAAAAGAAAAAACTAGACTTGGATACTTTTATTCCTCTTCAGAAGCCCATTATGGCCTGAGTAATTAAAAGGAAATGGGAACAGAAAGATCTTCCCTCTTTACAGTACTTTTTGCATCTTACTCTTTTCCTTTATTGAAGTTCACAGCGAAGGAAGTTTCTGGAAAGTGAGTTTGGGTTTTGTTTGCTTTCTTTTTTCTTCCTGTTTTAAAAACCTAAGCCAAAGTCTTTCAGCCACGGGGCATTCAGAAAGGGACCTCTCTGAGGCAGCTGTCAAGACTGGAACTAAAGGTTTCCAAAGAAAAATGGAGGGGAAGGGGAGCTGGTAGTTCTCTTCGCTCTGCAGTGAATGTGGAGCCTCTTTTATGTCTGGGGGGAGGGGGGAGGCGGAGAGGGAGTGTGTGAGTGAGCTCTAATTTAATAAAGAGAAAGGCCTATTGGGTCCTGCACCTGGTGAAAAAGACCCGAGCATGCTTTAATTATGGCCTATTGTTGGGAAGCCTTTGGTGGGTGTGAAACTGCTGAAATGTGGAGCTATTCAAATAGAGGTCAGGCCCAGAGACCTTGGAGTACAATGATTAACAAGGCTGCAAGCATTCAAGCTCAGCCAGCCAGAAAGAATAGGAAATTGGCAACAGGGGCTGGGAGAGGAGTTTGAATACAAAGAGAGCTAGGCCAAAATACCCCACTCTTTTTTTCTTTTCTCTCTATTTTCACTAATTTGCTAAAAAGGTTTTTATTCCTCCTTTCTAACACTAAACCTTTGAGTTGCCTCTGGATGAACAAGCAATACCATTTTCTTTTCCTTTTTCAAGAAAATACAATGTGTGGCAGTCAATTAATAAAAGCCTGTGTCAGAGAGCTCCTACAGGCTGTTCCCATTTGTCTGTTTCTGCCATGGGAAAGAGTTTGCTGGTCCAAAGACCAGTAGCCCGTGGTGGAACTGAAGAGGAGAACTGTCTGAGAAGGAATTTGCCCTTAAAAAGCAAACAGAACAACGAGCATTGGCTTGGCAACCATAAGGGAGAGGTGGCAACTTAGCTCCAGGAGGATGTATTCGCTCCTGCCCCACTCTGATAGTGCTGAAAATGTCAGCACATCAAAGCAGCTCTCCCAGGCTTGTCTTTATGCCACCACAGCATTATGTGTGCCCACACCCTGTAGGGCTGTTGAGTTTTTATCCATCCCTTTGGCACAGACCTGCTGGCTGATCACCCTGACATCCACACTGATGCTGGCTGAGGCCAGGGCTCCCCAGGGACAGGAGGTTTGGGTCTCACGCTGAAGGCAGCTGAGAAGCAGGAATTGTGGCTTTTGGCCATCTCCCTTCACACTGTTCACACAGCAAAGCCAAGAAACCATCCAAGGCTGCAGCCAGTTTAGGTGCTGAGAGCAAGAGACTCAGCCCCATCTCAGCTGAGGAGAATCATGGCAGTATTGACACCATTGGATTTTTTTAGATTTCTGTTTTCTTCTTTTGGGTTAGTTTGTATTTGAACCGCATAGCCCAGAAGCTGCACTGTGACTGTGTCTGGAATGTTGCAAAATGCAGGGGGCGTTGTTTTGGAAATATTTTTATTTTTCTGGTCTTTGTATATTTAAACTGGAAATGTTCTGATAATGATCTTCAAGAGGTGCGAAAGGGATACCTGAGGGTGCTGGGGGTTATCTGGATGGTTCAGTTTGCTTTATTGTTGGTTTTTGCTAGGTTTTCAATCAGACTGATGTAACAAAACCAACAAAGCCTGTTTATTTTTTGCTTTCTTTTTACTCAACATTAGAAATGATAAATTTCTGTCTGTATTGCTGGGTATTCATTGCTAGCTGGAATTAAAGCTAGGAGGGAAGGATTTTTAAACAGACTGTTTAAACAGCTTTTGTGGATCTCTGTTTGTTCTGTGTGCTTGTTTTTCTTCAGACCCTTTTGACTCATATAATTGATGGTCAATTTGAAAGCCAAGAGAAGCTAAAAGAAAAAGAATTCTTATTAATTTCTTTTTCAAAAAGTAGTTAGACAGAGAGTTAGGCTTGTATAGTGATGATTGTGCTTTCCTTTGTTGAACTTCCATGTTCACTGCCAGAAAAAAATGCAACTTCATAGAAAATACACCAAATCATCTTTTGAAGATAAAGCTATAGACAAATTCATGTATATATTGGAATAGCCAAAGTTACTTTCATTCATTATATTAGTATTTAAGGACAGCTGTTTCTTTCAGCTTAGTTTTGGGACTTTATTTGCTTTTTCCCCTCTTTTGTTTGGATGCACAGAACTAGAAAAAGTCTGAGACCTACTTGTTAAAAAGCAGCTTATCTGCTACTGCTGCTGTCTCAGAAACCCAGTGTTCCAGCTAGGAAGAAGCCAGTGCTCTTCTTGGAATGCACCATGTCAGCATGGGTCAGTGCAGGAAAAGTGATTAGTGCTGCTTTGCTGCAGGACTCTGCTTTTTCTGATAACTGTCAGGAGAAAATGAGAAGCTCTTCATGTGGCATTCTCAAACTTTCTTCCATTTGTTTTTAATGATGAGCCTGGGACTAAGACACTGATTATGAGTGCTCTCTTGTCCTCCCCCCAGGGAACTGGACCACAACGACATCTCAGGCATGATAGAAGATACCAACGGAGCCTTTACAGGCCTAGAAAACCTGAGCAAGCTGTGAGTATCCCTGGGTTTGAAGTTCTGCAAAGCAGTTGTGTGGTGTGCCTGTGTGGGGATGGGTCTCTCCCCTCTGACACAGCCTTCCTTCCTTCCTTCAGACGAGACAAAAATTAGCAGAAAATCTGACTTGTAGAGTTGCAGGCTCACTGTAGGAGTGCAGAGGTGGTTATCAAGCACTTGTGTTTCTGAGCAGATATGAGGTGATAATAGTCTTCCCAAAAGGATGAACTGACAGTGCCATGTAATGTAGTGCTGAGACACAGGAGAGAGAAACTTCAGTTTTCATCTATAAGATTCAGCACAACTGTTCCTTGCTTCTAAAGCAGTCAGCAACAAAGAAGACCCCTTGCAATCTTCAGTGAAGCACTGCTTGATGCAGCAAAAAACAATAAACAGAAGAGAAAAATCTCCCCATTTCCTGTTACAACAGAGGATTGAAACAGGATTCATTTCTGTGGGATACTGTCTGAGAGTGATCTTTTGGGCTTGCTTCCATGTGCACTGACAATAAAAGGCACCACGGGGCACAGGCTCTTAAAGAGATAAAAAGAAACCCAAGGCAAGCATGCGCCTTGCAAATGTTTATAGCTTGCTTGGCCTTTACAGTATTTTCACGTTGCTCTGTGCTTGTTCGTGTTCCATTTGAAATCAGCTGTATAAATCAGCCCTGTCAGAGAAGTCTCTTATGGCTTGTGACAAATCAAGAGTCTGCCTAATTGTTACCTCTTGCCTTTGTTTAAGTTCTCAGCACCCCCCCATCATGCTGTCTCTGATGCTGAGATGGCACAGCCAGAGGTGCAGTAAAAGCACCTCGATGGATAGCAGATGGCTGGAATGAATCCTGGCAGGCAGTATATTGTCACGATCTCATTAGAGAATCCTGGGGGAATGGGGAGAGTCATGGCAGGATTTGTGGGGACATGATGCTTAGGTGGAGAAGAAAAATTTTGAAGTCACAGATGTAGAGGGCATTTGATCGTGGGTGAGGGGAGTCACTGGATCCAAGAAGAGGGTAACCAAGTTGAAGCTGATAGAAGGCAGAGAAAGACTTAAGGATGGGCAAGGAGTCAGGCAGGGGGAGAGAGAGGCTGGTAGGAATTGCTGTGCATGTGGAGTGGGGAAATCTTCCCACAAGTTGCTAGGGAAAAGGCAGAGGAGCAGATGTGGTGAGTGGGAGAGTCCTCGGCTCCTTGTGCTGAGGTTTTTGGTTTGTCTGAAGAAAACAGTCAAACTACGTGAGTGGCTAGAAGAGTAGTGGGAGCAGAGGCTTTGTCCAGAGGGATTTGCAGGCTGTAGGATTGTGAGTCTGTAGTGCTGCTTTGACAAGGGAGAGAAGCTGGAAGAAAGGAGTGGAGAGAGGGAAAGAGCTGTCCTGGTGGGACATCCACTGTAGGGCATCCCTGCAACATGGCCACTGGCATGGGAGCAAAAGTGGTGGTGTCAAGTGATTGGGGTATGTTGGAAATGCTGGGTGCAGATAACAGGAGAGAGATGAAAATGTTAGAGGAAAAAGCTCAGCAACCGGGAGAAATGAGCACTGATGAGTTGTGGGGGTCAGGCAGAGGCCAGGAGGTACAGCAAGGAGCAGGAAGAGGAAGGAAGGGAGCAGAGGCAGCCTGCAGGGCTGGAGCTGTCTGGAGCTCTGGGCAGAGCAGCTGAAATAGCCATGGCCTGGTCTGATGGTTATCGTTCAGCACAGGGAACTGATTCAAAAGGTGTCTGGTTTTGTCTGCTGTTAGCAAAGGAGGCAACAAGGGCTTGCACAAATCTAAAGAAGCCAGGTTTGTCTTTTTTTCACATTGTTGACCTTTTGTCTTCCTTTGCATGTGGACTTGGGCCAGTTCTGGGTCTGGTGGAATACAGAAAAGGACATGTGCCTGTGGTTTGTGGGGAGAATTACAGCAAATTTCATAGCCTGGAAGAGCATGTGGAGCAGGTTGGTCTTGGACAGACAGGACTGCTTTAATTACCTAACAGAGCCAAGTGTGCTTTTAGACAGGTTGCTGGGATCATTAATTGTCAGCCAGAGTTTAAGGCTAGAAAAACCCTCAGAATATGAGATTATTTAATTATATTTCTTGAGGTGTTTTGGGGACAATTGGAAGTTTTAAAGGTAGCTGCTTGGGTCTGTTGTAGCTCATCAAGGACATAAATCCCAAACTTGTAATTTAATCTAGGTATGAAGTGAATGTCATTCTTGCTGGCAGGATTTTTTCGTAAATAAATTAAAAAATCTCAGCCTTTACAGCAAAGATTTCACTGTGTGATTTAGGGCCTGTGTTTAAACTGTCAACCAGCTTTAAATGCATTAGCATACAAAAAAAATGGGCACTTCAGAGGCGACCTTCCAATGAATTAATAATCACCTCAGCTCTGTGGAGATTGCCTTAAAAGCTGTTCCCCTTTGATCTGGCACAGATTAGCCTCTGAAAGGATTTAGCACAGAGAGGGTTGTTTGCTGAAATGAAGGTGTTAAACTGAGAGGTGGGGAGGCCAGTCACTTTAGCCTTCTCTGAATTATATATGAAGCTCTCCAGGATGAAGAGCACAGGCCTAAATTAAAATGTTGCTTCAAGAAAGAAGGGAGTCGAGAAGCACCGAAGCATAAAAAGCATCAGTGGAATCACTGGGGAACAAGGAGTTTCCTAATTATTCAAGCTGCTAAATGTAACCGGTTTTTTTGATGGCTCACTCAGCAACTGACATCTTCCTGCAGGTGCAAAACTGGCTGGAGGAGAAAATGCTGCTTTCTAATGAATTGCGTGCCTAGCGTGTAATTACACTTATGCAATCACCGGGCGATCTTGCTTGTGCCTCGCTCTGCGCAGCAGAGGAGCCTTCTGGAGTGCAGCAGGCAGGCTCATTGTGGGGCTGCAAACCACTGCGTTTGCATTCCAGCCTGCCACAGCCCTTTGAAGGGGGGCCGCTGGGTTCAAACCGTTTTGGAGTTGGAGAAGTGGTTAGTTGAGGTCTGAAAGGCCTAATGATTTTAATGAGTGTGCTGGGGCATGGTGTTGCTACCAGGGTGTTGTGGATTTCTCATGTGTCTAGCCATAAAATTGTATGCACTTACACTAGTGGTGTACACATTGTGTAGTCACATCCCCAGACTGCTGCTTAATCTCTGCACAGATGAGTAAACTGATTTAATCAGTATCTTCAATTTTCAAAGTCCAAGATCCACCGTAAACAAGAAACAAAAATCTCCAGTTTCAAACCCAAGCTCAGCGTAACACCCTTTTTAGGAATCTGGTTCCAGAAATTAGCATGTCTGAATGCAGCCATATGACCAGAGTCTGCATATAGTAAATTATTTACTATATTAATCATTCTAATGAATTTTTCAAAGTCTTCATTAATACAACATCCCTTTTCCCAAATGATGGTACACCTGATTGCACACATCCTTCGGGGCTTGGGGTATTTCACCCACAGCAAATGTCACAGATACTCTCATGCAAGAAATAAGACCTCTGATACCTGGTTTTGGTGCTGTAAAAAGGACCTCAGTAAAGCTCACTGTAGATATTTAGAATAATACTGTTGATAAAGCAGGTTGCAGCTCTCTGGAGCCTTTCATCAGCCTATGATAGCTGTCTCTGTTCTCCCCTCAAATACTTAACGAAGGGACACAGCTCTGAAAATTCAGCTGCTGTTTTGTATGAGGTTAACTCTGCCCATAAGAAAGGACTTTGAGTGCATGTCTCACTATGGGATGTGGGAGGTGGCTTTGCCTGAAACCAAAGATTTTGATTGGGTTTTGCTCTGGAATGGTATTGTGATTCTGGGCCTGAAGACCTTTTGTATGGGAGTAACTGGCCTTTCCTGTCTACCCAAGGATTAGAGTGGTGGCTCATCTGGCAGTACCACCTTCAGGGTGATTGATTTTGTGAGGACCTACTTGGGGGTCATAGTAGTGGTCGCCCAGTGGCAGGCACCCAGACTCCCTCCAAAGACAACAGGCTGCAAGGACTGATTGTGATACAGCCTCAGTCCTCACTGCCATATCAGCGTGATCAGCCCTATTTTTGCTTTCTACCCAGTATGGCATCCAGTGCTTTCATCCACACAGAAACTGGACCTTCTGGGTGCCATTGTTGAGACACCAGAACAACCTGATATTTGAAGAGTGCTTTGTGGAAAGCCCTAACAAGCTCCTGCAAATGGATTTGCCCGTGTAGTGGCTGCACATGCTGCATTTTGTACCTTAGCCTCCCTTCTAGCAAGCAGTGGGAGCATCCTAGTTTTAGAGCCTTTTGAGGGTGCAGATATAAACTGCACACTATATTGAAGCAGAAATCTTCAAGGGAAACTCAAATGCAGCACCAGATGTGTCTGTTTTTTACCTGAGGTGCTAGTGATGACTTGTGTTAGACACTGTGGGAAGCAGATGGTGATAAAAGATGCACCTGGAAGATAAAACTTAGAACGAACCTGGGCAAGGAAAGTGTTTCCTAAGTAATGACATGGCTTGATGTTTTATTAGAACAGTTGAGGAGGAAATCTGTTCTGCGTGAACCCTGCCCCTGCCTGATCACCACTGGTCAGTGTTTCTAGAGAACTGTTCCTCTGCAGATAGCAGCTGGGCTGTGACTGCTCCAGCTGGCTGCTGCCTACTCAGAGGCCCCCTTGCTGCTGCCTGGCACTGCCTGCTGGTTTGGAGAAGTGCTTTCTGGTCACAAATGCAAGTGAGCAGGATCCTCAGCTCTGTAGATTACCTTTTCTTCCTTTTGCCCTGTGAAATTACCACTCAGCTGTTACTGCATTATATCACTCTGCTGTTACATTTATAATAGGCCAAGGAAGGAAGTCAGTACTTGCTTCAGTTCGCTGCTGTATAAATCTGCAGGCAAGAGACAGCCCTCAGTCCTTGTGTGTGTCTGTTTAGGCCAAGCAGCAGTGACTAAGTTACCATTCTCCTGCTGCCTTGGGAGAAGTCAGAAATGAAAAGTGTTGCAGGGAGAGGCCGAAATCTTGTTAAATTGTCATTGCACTTAATCCTGTCCACAGCCAGGCAGCAAAGAATAGAGGGGACCTTCTGTTACTCAGCAAGCTGGTTTCCAAGCACTGGAGCAAACCTGCCTTTCTACGTGATATGACACATTCTCTTTTGTGCTGTCATCACTATTAAATTCTAATACAGATAAAAGGATTTAATTTCAGGAGTGGGAAAGTGAATGTACTTCAGCCCTCTTAATCTCCACATGGTTCAGATTTCCAGGGACTTACACTGAGCATGTATATCAGATAAAGCCACACTAATTGTGTTTCTTCTTTTTCTTCCCCCTTCTCCCTGTTTTCTTTCTGTTTATCTGGAACTGGATGTTTGGAAACTGCAGAACTCTGTTTGGAAACAAGATCAAGTCAGTGGCCAAGAAAGCGTTCTCAGGGTTGGAGGCCCTGGAGCACCTGTGAGTAACCCACCATGCCTTGGAGTTTGGGGAGGGGGGTCTGCCAAAAGTAGCTGCTTGAGAGATCTGCTAGCAATTTAATAGTGTCTTTGTAAACTGAGAAGCCAGTCCATTTGTGGGGGCCACCTGCTTCCTTCTCATTATAAGTCTGCCTCAACTTTGGCCTTTTTCTGTGCCAGGAACAAAGTTACAGAACATATGGCAAATCTGCATGCTCTTAATTTTTTTATTTGTTCTTGGATAAATATCGCCTTGACTTGCACATTGCTTCTTTGCAGGCTGTTAGCAATGAAAGTATGCCTTCAGATGTAGCCCTCTCTCCTCCTCCCTTGCCCCAGCTTCCTCCTAAATCTCAGCTCTGGCAGTGACATATGTTGCAGATGCCTGCTCAGGATGCAGGCACCAAACCTCCCCATTCAGCACAACTGCCTCGGAGCGATTTGCAAGAAGGAAACTTTGGCTGCCACTACATAATTTTTTTTGTGTCCCAAGGCTGATGACTCCAGCAGTGACTCATGAATAACTTCCTTTCTGAATTAAGACAAGTTAAAATATATGTGATTTTGCTCTAGATGTTTTATTGGCTGTTGAGCATATGAAATGTTATGACCATTGAGAGCATTCTGATGGGTTCGGGCTGCCTGACTGGAGGGGTGCATTCCCAGATAAAGGTTCCCTTATTAATGCTCTGTTGAGATTTCCTCTGCAAGCAGGACTTGTCTGTCCTCCACTGCATTTGGTAAACTTCAGCCTCTAATCTGACACTCTTCTTTTTCAGAGGACAAGTGAAATTTTTAATTGGCAATAGTTGTGAGGGAAACTTTTAAGAATACCTTCTTGGGAGGCACTGCCGTGTTTTTTAGACACGTTAGTATCCTCTCAAAGTCACTTCCAAATAGCTTCTCAGATGCCGTTTAGTGCAAGTATTTGCTTTCTTTATGTTTGCTGAAGGTCTAGCCTGGGATACGACATTCCTGACTATCTTTGGTTATCGTGGGGGCTGAGGAATTTCTGAGCTATGGATAATGGAGGTAGCTGAGACTGAGAAAGTGTAGTGAGAAGATGGGGTATGGGGTGACTTACGGACTTATTCCCATGATTTTTGCTGGTTGACTATTGTTCAGTAGTACTTACTCAATAATAAAGTGACTCATGGAAAGCCATTTCTGTGAACTGCAAGTGAACATGGCCTTAATGAGGAGCTTCCAAATCACTAGCTGCGGGAGTCGCTGCTTAAATATGGAGAGACTTTATTGGAGCCACAGAATCCCTGTCGTTCACGGTGCCTTTGGTTGTGTTCCTGCAGGAACCTTGGGGATAACGCCATCCGCTCCATTCAGGCAGATGCTTTTGCCAAGATGAAGAGCCTGCGGCAGCTGTAAGTAATTGGACCGTACACACCATTGAGGAGACAGGGATCCTCTTGCCCTGGACGTGAGAAGTAGCACATTGTTTCCAATGGGGTGTTATTCACATTACCGCTCATTTATTTCCTCCCCTCCCCACCCCGTCCTCCTCTGCAGGGTATTTTTACACGAGTAGATGTCATGGGGAATGTCTTGCATTTAATAGTGAGCGAAATTAGATCATGGGAACAGGTTCTTCCAGCAGGTTCACATCTGTGCAGTTACTCATCTCCGCTCAGGAAGTCCAGCCCTGGTCCTTTTAGCCATCTCTCCTTCTCATGCTGCCACTGATTTAATTCCCAGTGGTCCACCTGCTCCTTTCCTGTACCTGTGTTTAGGGTTCCCCTACTGACATTTCAGTGATGAGCACCATTTGAACTGGATCCACTTGTCATTCAGCCTTCTGAGGTAGAAATACGGATGTGTTATCAAAGCAGCTGCTTGTGCTCCAGGCAGAGGCTCTGCACTGTTATCAGACACTGTTTCCAGTCTTGCCTGGTTTCCTTTTCTCTTCTTCTCCATCAATATTTAATCCTCTGTCAGTGCATTGCTACACTCTAGTGCAATGTCTGTGGAACAAGGAATGACTTCTTTGGTATTTGGACAAGTTCAGGTTCTTCCTGACTTTGGAAATGGAGTCAGATGGTTGATGTTAGTGACATTTAATACCAGGGTCTGGGGAATGAATAAGATAAATGTTGCATGTCTGTTGTTTGTTTAACCATCTTAGCTTTTTCACTGGCTCTTGAAACAAAATTGAGGTGAAATACTGATCTTACTAGAGAAGAGCTTGTGGGATCCCAAATATTGTGAAGGAACCTTTACACCATGGAGAAGGTGGCTTTCACATAGGGGACATAAGCATGCAGAATGCTTTGGACTGAAGTTTTAAATATTAAGGGTCTCTCTGCCCGGTCCCAGCTTGCCAGCAGTGTTGTGCCATCATGTCTTAGGGGTTACACATCTTTCAAGGACAGTAAAGTGGAAAATTAGATCCCTGTGTTCCCTCATTCCCTTCCTCTCCTGTCCATTTCTTTCTTTTCTCCTTTCCTGGCTAGTTTCCAACTTCAGGATTTCCAGAGTTTATCAGGTAGAAAAACGGGAGGAAATTCACACCTTACTACACTAAAGTTGGGATTCTGCTGTGCTTTTGATATCCTTCCTGCTTTTGCACAACTTGTGGTATTGCAGGTCTTCTCTGTCCAGGGCCATTTTCCCAGTATCTCACATTCGATTTAAGGGATCAGACTGGGTTTCCTAGGATCTTGGACCAAACCAAAGTCTGAATCCTGTTGGTGTAAACTTACAGTTCTTCACTGGCCTCAGAGCTATGCTGAGCCAAAATTTGGCCTACAATATTTCAGAAAAATAAATCCTGAGTCTCCCTTTTTATTTGGCCCTTTTTCACAGCTCTTCCTTTAACAGGAGGTGCTATGTTACTGTTAAGATGCTGAGAAGTCTTTCTGTGTTTTTCTTTCCAAACTACTCTCTGTTTGTATTGGGTTTACAAAATGTCTTTGATCATTTCTCTCCCACTGCTTCAGTTAATCAGTAAACAGCCTCAGCTACACCTCTTGCCCTGATGATGCTGGTGTGTGAGCAGGGAAGGCAGGCAGGGGCCTCTCCACTTACACCTCTGGTGTTGGCCACTGAGGGAATGACACATCCTATGGCAGGAACTTGGCATCTTCTTACTGTTCAGTAATTAAGCCCTGAATTCATCCCGCACCAAAGATGCTCAAACCACAGAGGCAGAGAAGGAGCATGAGTGGTAATTAGATACGAGAAATGGGAGCAGGATGGGCTGTATTGTTGACTTGAGCCTCTGCTGCAGGTCTCCTTTGTAGATGATCTGCCTTGGTTTCTCTCACTGCTTGTCTGTTCCTGGGATCACTCTGGAAGTTGGTTAACAAATATAAGCGTACTAAGGAGTGTCACTGGAGGACAGGAGTGGGTTGCTCTATGTGGAGATAAAATGCTGTTAAATGTGTTATGTATTTAACATTAGTGCCTAGAGGACAGCCCTGTAGTCCTTTTTTTTCTTTCTACCCATGCTGGGAGGGAGGGAGGAATGTGTCTAACATGAAAGGGCTGTGAGTTTTCCAGCCTTCTCTCCTTGCAGGACTCACAGCAGGCTCATGTTGGTTTTGTTTCCCTGCAGCCACATAAACAGTGACAGCTTCCTCTGCGATTGCCAGCTGAAATGGTTGCCCCAGTGGTTAGTTGAGAAAGAGCTGCAATCCTTTGTGGAGGCCACCTGCGCCCATCCTGAGTCACTGAAAAGCAAGAGCATTTTTGCCATCCTGCCAGAAAGTTTTGTGTGTGGTAAGTCTTGCCTGTGTGTTTTGAGGTTGTATGAAGGGTAGGACTCACTTGGGAAACATTTTCTTTGACTACTAGCATGTTATTACGAGAGGGTTCCTGTTTTGTTTTGTTACTCAGTGGGATCAAAGGGAGCCCAAGCCTGTGTCTTAAAAATTTGTCATTGGCTACAATTTATTTCCCACCAAAACCACACAGCACATTGCTTGCATCTAGTGTGTTCCTTATAGGGCTCCTTGAGTATTAAATCAAAAGGGACTAATGCTTGTTCCAGTTCCAAATGGGGCTGCAGAGACTTCCCCAGTCCTCTTAGTTTGATCCTGCCAAGACTGCAGCTATAATTTTTTTTCACTCTAGTGTTCTGAGCTTCTCCTCTGGCTTTGCGTTCTTCACTTATCTTTTCTCCCTCTTAGAAATAACAAAGAGTTAAAAAAAAAAAACAACAGCAAAAAAAAGCAGGAGAGACTCACTCCATCACAGCTACATAAAAATGATCAGAGGAGTTCAAAGTGATGCTGTTCATTCATCCAGCTTTTGGGCAAAATAAAGGCCTGGTTTGGTGAGCCAAACTGTGCTGTGGAGCCAACCAGTGTGGATCCTGGGAGGAGCTACACATGGCTGTCTGATGAAGGAAAAACGAGCTTTTGAAAACACTGTTTAACCAAGTTGAATGCATGGCTTGCATTGAACATATAGCAAAAGCTTTGTTCCAGCTGCTGTCCCACATCCCTCTGGATCCCCAAGCAATAGGGCTCTGCCTAGGTGGCCTCTGTCTGAGCAAGCCTGGGAGGCTGTGCTCATCTGGAAGAAGAGATTGTGAAGGCTCCATCCCCACAGGAACATCACAAAGTGAAGACAGCTTTGCTTCTCTGGTGCCTGCCAAGTCCTCCAGGCACTAGTACTCTGGTTCCAGAGGCCTGGCTGTTTAATTAAACCTTAGTCAAATATTAAATTACACCATTTGTAGAAACCTAATAAATCAATCTGCTTGGAACCTTGCTAAAACCAACAGTCTTCAGGGCACTGAGTGTGCAAAGCTTTCCACCCCAGACGGGTGACAGGCAAATACAGCTGCTTCTGCTTTGAGAGCGCATGCTACGGTCACCTTGCTTGTGAGCTTCTATCCCTAGAGGTGGCACTTTCCACCCTGTAAGTGTCCTTATGTTCTCCCCTCCTGCTTCACACTAATACAGGCGTGAAAGTGAAGTTCTAAGTTCAGTATTGCTCTTCTGCATGGGTTGCACAAGGAAGGATATTTTCTTTAGACCGTAGGATCCTTCTGAGGTTCTCCTGCATTGGTGAAGAGAGCCAGGCATCTTCTATGTGTCTGAGATCTCCAAGTGACCATCTCAGTCCACTGGTTACGGAAGGCACCAGAGGAACTAGTGTAGACCAGCCAGTCAGTGGAGTTGTGGATGGCACATCTGCATGGCAGAGCCAGTCTCCATGTTGGAGAGCTTTGCAAGAGCAAGCTGCTCTCCTGGGGTAGGCAGCAGTGGCTGTCAAAGCAGATGTGCAATGTCGTCTTTCACTTCCGCACTGCTCCTTTCTTATTGCATCTCGTTGCTTTCTCCAGTCTTTCCTCATTTTCCAGAACTATGCCTTCTGTTTCCTCTTAGATGATTTCCTCAAGCCACAGATTATCATCCAGCCTGAGACAACAGTGGCTGTCCTTGGGAAAGACATCCGTTTCACTTGCTCAGCTGCCAGCAGCAGCAGCTCCCCCATGATGTTTGCATGGAAGAAAGACAACGAGATGCTGCACAATGCTGAGATCGAGAACTTTGCCCACGTGCGGGCGAAGGGTGGGGAGGTAATGGAGTACACCACCATCCTGCACCTCCGGCACGTCACCTTCACCCACGAAGGGCGTTACCAGTGCATCATCACCAACCACTTTGGCTCTACCTACTCCAACAAGGCCCGACTCACTGTTAATGGTGAGTAGGAAGCTGCTTTCTCATTCCTTTCCTCAGCCTGTATTGGTACAATTCTTTGGGACCCACTTTTGCCAGGGGTCTATTCCTGATAGTGAGGAGCTCCTAAACTCTCCACACCAGTTGCCTGCAACTCAGTGTGGCTGCTGAGAAATGCCATGTGAGGAGCACATGCCAGGCTTGTGGTGGCTGCCGTTCAGCCAAGCATTTGAGCATGTTCTTAACAGTTTGAGCCAGCTCTCTCTGGCTCTTCCAGTAGAGTCTATGCCCAATGAAATAAGGCAATGAAAATACAAAAGGATACCAGAAAGAGGTACTATAATGTAAGTTCTCTGTAGGAGAGGTCATGGGGTTTATTTCCAGGTTAATTGCAGAAGAAAATTACCTTTGATACCAGTTCTGATGCTCCTGAGTGGTGGAGTCTTGGACACTGCAGAGAAGTATATGCTGTAGAAACACAGGGTTAGGCCTCAGCAGTTCAGCTATATCCTACAAGAGTAGCTTGCCATCTTCTTGCCTCTGGGTGATTATCAAATACATCTCCTGCCTAGCAAGGAAAACAGAACTGCTCAGAAGATGGTGTTTCCCCCATGGAATTGCTCATTCCTTTTTCTTGTTTTTCTTTATCAGTGTTGCCCTCGTTTCTCAAAACTCCCCACGACATCACCAGCCGGACAGGGACAACGGCACGGCTGGAGTGTGCAGCTGAAGGACACCCCACCCCACAGATTGCCTGGCAGAAGGACGGGGGCACAGACTTCCCCGCAGCCCGGGAGCGCCGCATGCACGTCATGCCCGACGACGACGTCTTCTTCATTACAGACGTGAAGATTGAAGACATGGGTGTCTACAGCTGCACAGCACAGAACTCTGCGGGGTCTGTGCTTGCAAATGCCACCCTGACTGTGCTGGGTAAGATGCATGAGTGCCCCTGAGAGACCAAGTGGTCTAGAAGTGGGAACTGGAAGGGATTGCTGCTCAAGCTCTTCAGGAGTTGCAGATGCAGAAAAGAGACAAGGAGGCAGTGCTCTGTGTTGGTTGTTTCATTCTTTTACACTGTAGTTACCTAATGAAAATTCCCTTGCTAATTAAAAGAAGGAGCCGTGAGTTGCATTTCCTCTTGTGTCAAGAAAGCCCCTCAAAGCACCTTATTTCCTGCCTGGCAAAATTACTTTAAAAGGAAATTTCACTCCCTCTCTTCTGCCCTGCGAAACAGTTCATGTGTGTCAGCCATTGCCTCTTGTCCTCAGGGGTTTCTTTCTTGGGAAGGCCTAACACCAGCTGGTTATGGGAAGGCTTTGGTTGTGCTAGTTCTGTCATGATGTGCAGTTGCCATGCTCCTGGACCCATGGCTGCCTGGTGCATTTGGCATGGTGCATGCCTGCTGTGTATTTCTCATCAGGAACATCAGTTACGTTCAGTATTGTTAAATCTGTTGTTGCACTGTCCTCAGGTCTTAATTACCATGTTTATTCTCCTGCAGAGACCCCATCTTTGATTCACCCACTGGAAGACCATGTAGTGTCTGTAGGTGAGACTGTGGCTCTTCAGTGCAAAGCCACAGGGAGCCCACCTCCCCGCATCACCTGGCTGAAAGGTGACCAACCCCTGGTCATGACAGAAAGGCATCACTTCACCTCTGGCAACCAGCTTCTGATCATCAGGAACGTTGTTTTGGAAGATGCTGGGAAATACACCTGTGAAATGTCCAACACCCTGGGGACAGAGCGTGCACACAGCCAAGTGAGCATCTTGCAGTCTCTTGGCTGTAGGAAGGACCGTACCACTGTGGGGATCATCACCATTGCTGTGGTGTGCAGCATTGTGCTGACCTCTCTGGTCTGGGTCTGCATCATCTACCAAACCAGGAAGAAGAGTGAAGAATACAGTGTCACCAACACAGGTAGCTCTGCTCTCCTGCCATGGCTTTCTCTAGCTTTTTTTGCTTTCAGACTTCCCACTGAGGCTGAGTTGGCACGACAGGTACCATACCATCACACTGGAAAACCAGTTGGCTTACTTCATGGTTCTCTTGGCTCACAAAGCTGGAACCAGCTTTCACTTGCTGCTGAAGCATGTTCAGAGCTGCATTTCTCCTCTTGGCTTGCTCTTCACAAAGGTCTTTTCCACTTGGCAGTAGTTTCATCCATTGCTTTGCTACTTTGATTTTCCATGACCATAAATGATAACTCTTAAGACAGTCTGGATTATGTCCACAATGCTGGGAACCTTATTCTTGGGAATCTGTATTTTCAAAGACTTTGTATTGAAAACATTGAAAAATGAGACTTTGAGGCTGGAAACCCTTTTTTCCATGTTGCCTCTAAGAGCTGTTGTAGCCCTGCTGATGAGGCACATCCCTCCCTTTTTAGAGGAAGAAGCAGTGTTTATGGCTTCCTCTGATAATCAAAGGGGATAATTTGGTGCTGAAATAAGTGGTGCAGTGAGAAAAAAAACCCTCCTGCTGCTGTCAGTGTTATGCAGCCTCTGAACAGAAGTATGGAAGAACCAGCTTGAGGCTTCCCTACCCTGCTGGGATTTCCAGTCTTCCTATATTACATTTCGATATAGTACAACATAGGATTTTAAATACATGGGCTCAGTAGGACATCTTGGATACCATATGACCAGTGTAATGTGTCAGTGGAATTTTTATTCCCCCTTTTTTCACTCCTGAAAACCTAAGGCTTCATGCCTTGAATAATTCAGTTTCACTAGGTGTTTGTTTGACGGGGGCAATTGAAATTGCCTGATAGAAAATGGAGCCAGGGATGGCTGAGGGGCTTAGACTGACTTGTCTACTGAATTGAATCAGTTATCCTGAAGTCTGTCACTCGTGACTGAGAGGGAGAGAACTTGAGTGAGGTTCTCTCCATTTCAGGGGAAGTGGAAGGATTTCTTCTGAAGAGACAGGTCCACCATCACCTGCCTTGTACTCACTGTGCCAAATGCAAACACTCAAAATGGCTTTATCAGCACTCTCTCTCACACATTTAAGTTTTGGAAAATCAGGAGTGGAGCTTCTGAGGGAATGAGTATGTAGGCAGTTTGGTTTCCATTGCATCTATAGAAAATACCACTTGTAGATTTGGTCCCAAATCTTTCTTGCAAAATGTGATTATTTTACATGCCTTTGAAAGCAGAAGCCTTTATATCCTACTAGGACTTAACACTTCTCTGCTCCCATTGCTCTAGATGAGACTATTGTGCCTCCTGATGTGCCAAGCTACTTGTCCTCACAAGGGACCCTTTCCGAGCGGCAGGAAGCGGCTGTCAGACCGGAGCCCCCGCAGCCCAACGGGCACATAGACACCAACGGTGAGAACCCTTTTCCTTTTTTCTGTAATGCTGCATCTGAACTTGAGGGAGGAAGAAAGCAGAGTACAAAGTACTTCTGTGCTTGTTACGAGTTATCTGAGAGATCTTCATAATGTAATTCCCCAGGTACTGCATTTATGCAGAACAAGGATCTTTCACTTCCCAAAGGGATCCTCTCCCAGTAAGGACAGCATTCCATATGAGCAGGCTGCTTCAGAAGCTGCTCAGTCAGGCCTTAAGGACTATTTTTTTGCTAATTTTGGATTCTTTGGCACCAGAGCTACCCATAGTTAAGCTGTAGTAGAAAATACATTAGCATTATTGCCTGGCCCTGCCTTCAGGCATAGAAATTAAATGCTGGGATTTTACAGTATTTAAACACAGCATATTAGGAAGGTGAAGTTAAGCATTCTGAACTAAGATTCTCCTGAGATTGGTGCACATTGCCTTAAAATTGTCCATTATCTCTGCTGCTATTTTTTTCTCCCTTTCACAGCTTTTACAGTAGAAATGGTCTTATTTCTAATTTGTTAGTATTCACAAGTCATTTAACTTGAGAGCAGATGGTTGTAATCTTTAGCCACATGGTTTGTTTGTTGCAGGTATGTGTCAGACTGATGCTGGAAGGTGTCCAGATGTTGAAGCTCCCACTGTAGGTTGTAGACAGCCAAAGTTGTGTATCAGCTATAATAAAGACACATGGAAAACCGAAGACATGGCTGATGGAATGCTTGTTCCAGATAAGACAGGTACAAAACCCATTAATCTCGAAAGGTATTTCATGTTTGTACAGATCAGAAAGCCCTCCAAGTCAGAGAGCATTAAGAAACTGTTACCTTCAGAAGAAAAAAAAAACCCAGAATGATTCTCAGGTGTGAGCACAGTAAATTTACCTTCTGCTGTTTGCTTTGATCCTCTGTCAAACTGGGATAGTTTGAATTTGAGGAACCATCAGAAAGAGGTGGACCAGAGCTCATGAAAGCCATTCCTTGCAGCTGGCTGATTGGTATTTTGATTTGAGCTATCCCTAAAACGTGAGAGCACTTTCAGACTGAAGATATTATAATTTTTCTTGCTCTTTAAAGGGGCTGTTGACTTCAAAGCTCAGTTTTTTGTTTGTTTTTTTTTCTTTCTCCCCAAATGTAAAGGTTGTTTAGGTCACTACACCTGCCTGTGCTCTTTGCCAGTTTCTTGAGTGTTGCACTCAAACTTTTCTATTTTTAAGATGCAGTTCCTGTTCTCATGCTGTATTGTAACATCCACAGAAAAACAGCCAGTGAAGCAAATTTTCTGTCTAGGAAAAACTGTGAAGTTTAATAATGGAAAGTTGTCGAGTGCTCGCTCTAAGGAAACTTAACTTTCAACATTTAGAAACTCCTTCCTGCTTTGAACTCTGCTCATCTTGTTACTACCACTAACAGTAACAAAACATCTTGAAGTAACAATGGGAGTTGACAGTGACCTCTGTAAAGTAGCAGCACAAAAATAAAGAAGGTAACTTGGTATTTTAAAGCAGGTACAGGAAAGTTCTACTTTGTTTCTATCCTGAATAGAAATACCTGGAAAAGGAAATAAAGGCACAGTTTGTTTAAAAAAAAAAGTAGGGGAAAAAGCCCAAACGTACTAAACCTTATTAACTGGAGCTCCAACTCTGATACCTACAGAGTTCTGAAAAACACAGGTATTTACTGGCCCTGTATAAACCCAAGAAGTGTCCATGTGATTTAGTGAGAGATTCCCACACTGCTGAGGGACAGATGAAGCAAACAGAGCTGCCTTTTCCTTTTGCAAGTCCTGTTCTTCAGTGCTAACACCTTCCAGCTGGTTCATCTCCATTTGTTGCTGTTTCCCTTCCTCCCTGACAGGCTATGGGCTGCCAGTCGTGTGCACGGACTGCAGTGGCAGCACAGACAGCATGAATGTTCATATTTTCCCCAAGGACTCAGAGTTCTACTCTGAGAGCCTTAAGACTATGGATAATACCTACCCAAGTGCACTGAGCAGCAAGGAACACCCCAGGAAGAGGGGTGCAGGCACCAGCCCTCTTTACCCTCAGCCCTGCAACGGGATTGCCAGTGGCAAGAGGATGGAAACTGACGGGACCCTCTACCCCAGCAACCACGACAGAATAGGACCTGTGAGCACCACCAGCCCGCTGCTTGCAGACCAACATGGTACGTGTTCCCTTGGGGAAGTCTCTTCTCCCCAGATACCATAAAATACCATCTAGATTATACCAGAGCCCTGCTTTCTCTCATCAGCTTTTTTAACCTGGCTCAAGGTCATGAATGATAGTGGCATGGGTGGTTTTATGAGGAGCATGGGCAAGCTGAGCATCAGCTAATCACACTGGTTCTTTGGTTTCTTGCAGGGCCTTCACAAGCAGTAACAAAGCCTTCAGAGCTTAACAACCTTAATTTGGTGAGAGCTTCACCGGCAGGAGGGTCATTAAAGCAACTGAACGTGCTTCCTGAAATTTCCCCAAAACTACTGGATTTGCAGAGTGAAGCAGAAGTGAAACAGGCCCTTCTGTCCAACGGCCACACACCCCAGCTCTGTGACTCCCTTCCTGAGGTGAAGCCACCCAACAGATCGCTGGACTGAGAGGACAGGCTGCCATGTGCAAATTAACAAACATGCTATTATGGTTTTTTAATAATTTTTTTTTGCACAGAGTATATAGGCTACTTACTTCTACCTCAAATCTTGAACTGATGACCTGTCAAAGGCAAATAACTGAGGTATGAGAAACAAGCTTGTATGGGGAACAAACTCCTGTTCGAGCGTCATCTGTTTGTATATAGTTTAAAACTTCCCTGAGAAGTATGAAGCATTCAAAAGTTGACTTGCATATGAAGCACATAAATGCAAGGGATTATTGTGTAAAGAGAAAAGTATTTGATACAATTGTACATAAGAGTTTTCATATATAAATATATATATATATAAATATATATATATGTCTTTTACAGAGGCTATTTTAATCTTTAGTGCATGGAAAACTGAGTGAAATTTTACAATTTTGGCAATATTGTTTCAAGTATCAGGTTGCTGTTAAACTTTGTGAGAGAAATAATTCTGGTGCCTTAAATGCATAAGCAGAACTTTTAAAAGCCAGACTGTTCCAAAGGGATTGTCCCCTTTTCATGGAAGTTCCTTTAAATCAAGTATCAATTGGGTTACTTAGCACAAATTTCCTTCCCCTTTGAAATTTATTGTACTTAACACATTTAAACAGAGATCTTAAAAGTATTTCAAATGAACTCGATAGGAAAAAGAACACATGCAGTGAGACATTACATAGCAACCTGATTTTTTTTTTTTCCTGTTGGTGGAAGAACTTAAATTCCATTACTTTTCTAAACTGCATCAAAATTAGGATTTGAACTGTGTGTGATATGAGTGGACCACACAAGAGGCACTAAATAACTCAGCAACAGCGCAGAGCCCCAAAACAACCAGACAAAAAGGCTGTCATGATTAGTGAGCAGTCGTTACCAAAATAAATAATTCATGCAGTAAACTGTGGGGTGGTCTCACATATTGCACCATTCCAAAAAAACATCATGGCAGGAGGCGTTCCCTGGCCATAAATGCTGTTACAGCACAGATCACCTACAGACCTGACTGCAAAAGTTTGCCCTCCCAAATGGATGCAGCTTTACCTGTGCATATAAAGATGAACAGCCTAGCTCTGTTTCGCAGGAATAACCCGTGCCACTATAGTGCATTTTCACACACACCTCACACCACCCGCCCCCCCACCACCCCCCAAATAATAAATATGTTCTGGAGGGGGCTTGAAACCATAGAGCTGTTTTGACAACAAAACTAAAATTGTACTCCTAAGCTGACAGCTGTACTGTTAATTCCTCTGGTACTTCTTTTTTTTCCTGCAACACAATATTCTGCTTTCTTGTTGAACACCATTACCCCCCTCTGCAGCCAGAGAATACCTGCTTCAAATGAATTCTGCTGCTTTGTGGAACAATTCTAGGCTATTCAGAAAGGTACTCACTTTGAAGTGAAACTATAGTTGGAAGTCTGTTAAATGGAAATGCCCCAGGTATTTTTATGTGGTCTTTTAAGTTCATCCATGAATAAGGGGGCAAAGAAATGCCCATGTTGGTCAAACACATATTCGTCACTTGTAACTTCACTACGATGCTTTTTTATTTATACAAAGGCTGCTTTCTGTTGGTGTTGGTACCTGTGGATGGAGGACTCCCTTCCAGTTACTTGTAATTTGAGTTCTGCTAACATGAGGTTGCTAACTCTGGTGATGACTACTTTGGGGAAAGGTTTATTTGGGGTTTTGTTACTTTTTTCTTTAGAAGCAACTCAAATGCCAGTTCCACTGAAGCTGAGTATGGTGGAAATCCACCTTTGCTAGTACCATGGCTCAGAACAAGCACCAGAAATAAGGACAGAAACTGGTCAGATCCATCACCTGGGGATCTGAGTACTAGTGTCCTATCCAGCCTTACCTTGAGGAGCAACCACCTCCTGTGAGGGAAAGACCTCTGGCTATTGCCCAGTAGCTGGTGAGTTTCACTGTAGACTGTCCAGCTGACCCTGATAGAGCAAGGCATAATTCAGCCTGTACCTGTCTGTATCAGCTCCTGACTATGGACACATTTGCACTTTGAGACAGGTGGCGGATTATGGAGTGAGGGGGACTTCTTGCAAGGACAGGTGGTGATGGGATGAGGAGGAATGGTTTCCAGCTGAAAGACAGCGGATTAGATTAGATCAGATTTTTAGGAAGAAATCCTTTTCTAGAAGTGTGCAAGGACAGGTTGGATGGGGCTTGGGGCAGCCTGGTTTAGTGGAAGGTGTCTAGTTCATCAAGGCCCCTTCCAGCCCAAACCCTTCCGTGATTCTGAGTGCCAAGTTTATTTAAAGCAAAGGAAATGGATGTTAAAAGATTATAAACTGAGCATAATTTTCCTTTCACTCAAAGGAAAAGTATGTTTCAGAACTGACTTGCAAGGTGAAAACAGTGGAACTGGGGAGATGGGAATCGTTTAATGGACTAATTTTGCTGGCAGAAATGTCATCACCATTGCAGATACAAAGCATATTTGCCACATTAACATTTGAAAATAATGTTTCAGAATAAAGTTAACTGCCTAATGTTATGACTTCCACTAAATATGTGAATTTGCTGCTTCTAAGAGGCAATGTGAAAGAGGAAGTATTACTTTTGTGTACAAAGTTATTTATTTATTAGAAAATTTGGTACAATGTTGTACATTGAAAAACATGTAAGATATTGAAGTGTCTAACAAATGGCATTGAAGTGTCTTTAATAAAGGTTCATTTATAATATTACAGCTGTTTTGTTGAGAGTGAGCTTTTGGGAGTTTCAGTTGAAAATTAAATAAAATTCTAATCCATTGCTTTACTCCTTTCTGTCTTTCTCTGATGAAAACACAGACTGCCTGCCAAAATACCTACTCCTGAAATTCTAATTTAACACAAGATACTGTAGATCAGCATGAGACACTGGCAACCTGGCTTGTGGATAGGGTTGAATTTGGGGGCTGTACTGAAAGATGCAATAAAGAATTTATAAGAAATACATTTCTAATGTATCAACTTGCTTAAGTATCTGGCAAGTACCCTTATCTTGGCACTGAGAATGGAACAGAGGGGGTGTGTGCACGTGTGTGTAAGTATGTAAGAAAAATGGAGCCAGGACAGCACGAGGCTCAGCTACAGTTGTGAACACCTCTGACTTTCTCCAACCAAACCCCACCCTGTATGGAAATTCCAGAGGCAGCTGGAATTCTTGCTTTAACTAAGAATTGCAAATCAGTTTCTGGATATTAAAAAACCCCATGTATTTCCTCCTCCAAATTAAAACTTTGGGTAAAAAGCAGGTTTTCTGAGACTATGCTGATAAATCCCTTAACACACATAGGCGATAAAATATTTTAAAATTAAAAATTAAGAGCCTTTAAGAGGCTGGTACCTCATCTTAAGATTCAAGCTTTGTTATTCCACATTAGCCCAAGTAATGGGCTAAAATTAATTTTTCAAGTTTTGGTAAACTTGAAATAAACTTTGCTTAAATTCAAGGCAAACAGGCAGTACGAGAAATTAAAAAACAACCCACCATATTTTTAAAGCTTTCTCCCCTGTTGTCCTGTA